ACTTAAAGCATGTGATGCTGTGAATGGTGTTAGCAGTCTTTGGCACTTGAGAATCCAGCTGAACTAGTGATAGCAGCAGTGAGAATTTCTCTGTAGATAAATTCCCATGTGTAAACCTGACCTTACTTACCAAACATATTGAGTGGGAGTAAAAAGGAGGGAATCTCCTTATAGATTGAGCTGTAATAAATAAGTGGAATTTAATGAGGAAAGTTAAATTCTGGTAGAGTTACTTTGTCAATTTTTTTTTTTTTTTTTTTTCCCCACTTTTTAAAACCTAACTTCAACTAGTAAGTCTTAGCAGCCATTCTGGTAGGGTAGTATAACAAAATATACTTTGTATTATTTAAAGTTTTTCTTATATTGAATTCTATGTCAACAAGTATTGAAGTAAAAACAATTGTTCATGTATGTCTAAAACAGTTGTATGACATGTTTGCCTCTGTCATGAGCACAACAGCATCTGTTACTCTTTCAGCAGTGCTATTTATAATTTGGCATTTTTCAAAGTGTTGCTTGTTGTTGTTTCACCATCACTTGACAAACAAATAGACAAAAAAACTCCAACCCAAACCATGAAAGACTGCTGACAGTGTCACTTTTAAGGCCCATGAAAGAAGAAGGCAATTCACATTAATCTTAATAACTTCAAGTAATATTTTTAAATAAACTTAAAATGGCTCAGCATTCTTCTTTTTGTTTTATCTCTGTAAGTGATGAGGAGAAGGGAGTAAACTGAAGTTGTTAAGACTCTGAAGAGACATTGTGTATTGCTGACGTTTCTAAAGAGGGAATAAAGTCCAAGAGGGAGGTAGAGACAGAGAGGTATTTTAGGAAGAAGGTATTTTTTTATCAGGAAAAGATTATTTTTTTTTTCAAGAAAAAGATATATTATGAATAAAAAACTGAGCAATTACAGCAACTGCATTATAGCTTGTTAGTTAAAGATACCTGTTTTCTAGAGAGATTTCTGTTTCCGATCTCCAGGCTGTAAATATACGTGTAGGTATTTTATTATGTTAACACAAATGTGATTTTTCTGAATTGAAATTCTGCATATTTTCACATACTTGGAATCAATTTTAAGATGCCAACTATATTATTAAGTTATATTGTAAAAAGGCACAAGACCCTTTTTTGAAATCTGTATTTACAAGATTTTAAAAAAGAATGAGGAAGTAACATGCAGATAAAAGACTAAGCACTCAAAATGGAAATGTTTTATGGTATATATTTTTCACTTTCAACTTTCATATCTTTAATAAAATCACATTGATACAGTATGGGATTCAATTAAAAATAATGTAAAATTTTCTTGATTTTTTTTTTTAAACTAAAAATACCCTTTTGTTAGTGGTATCTCTGAAGAAAGTTAATTTTTTATTTTATAATCTTTTTCTTAATCATAGTCTGCTTGACAAACATGAATTGCTGAAAGGAAAGTCCTTTCCTCCAAAAGCCAAAACAGAACTGTGCAGGTGGAAGGCTGAAATGCTTATTAGAAAAATGATGTTACTAGAGAAATGCTTCCTTGAGAAATGAGGAAAAAGTTGTCTTGTTTTATGACTTCTCTTCCTCTCCCCTCCCATGTAATTTATCAAGGACATTTACAAATTTTTTTATACCTTATTATACTGTCTTATAGCAGAGTAAAACTAGGTCCTAATTAAGTAATGTGGCAAGAATACACTTTTAACTGGATTTTCTTCCTCTGGTATTTAAGATGAATCTGGAAAGGTTAATGTTCTTACTTACAAAGTAAGTCTTAAAGGTAGTGTAGTTTCACAGATGAAAGGCTGGACTGCAAAATTTTCAAAGGCTACAGATCAGAGCAGTGCTTCTGTGGGGAGCTAAATAGCTTGAAAAGTTTTGCATGGTTCAGTATTTGGTTTCACTTCTACAACAGTAGATGGTTCTAAGCTAAAAATGAATTGAAGGATGGATGTATCCTGAGAGATGTGTTGTGGGTTGTTTTGTTTTGTCTGGACCCTCTCTGGCCCCGAAACTGTATAGGCTCACTTCTGCTTTACTTCTCAAATGGGTTGTGTTCCATCCTGTGGTATTTTGGAGAGAATTCACCAGTAGTTTCCTTTATTAGCTTTTCTTCCTCGTGTTTTCCTTTGTGCAAAAGAAAAAAAAAAAAAAAAAAAAGCCCTATCTAAACCTATCCTCCTATTTAATGAATTTTTGTGTTCCAAGGAATCAAATAAAACCCAGTCCATGGATACTTTACCACACTGACGAATAAACCTTTTTGCATTGGATCTCTCTGTTTGGCTGCCCTTGTAGTTTATTGAGCACTGAATGCCTTATTACTCAGTTATATAGTTACTGACTCCAGTTGCCACTTAACACAATAGTAAAAAATCTATGTATGGTATCTAATATTACATAATGTTTATTATCTGAATTTACAACAGATGTGGCAACACCTTAGGCATATTGCTAAATATTCTATTATATGAAGTAAATCTACATAGATCTTTGCTGTTATCCAGGTATATTTACACAGCATTATCCAATGAGTAAAAATAAGGTGTTCTACGTTTGCTTACTCATTCTCTTACTCTTTATCCCTGGGCTTGGCAGACACCGTGTGACTTCCAGCACTCACTATCTCAAGGCTCTTAAAACTCCTGCACTTGACATTAAGATTTAATCCTGCAGTGGATATCAACTGTCTAACATTATTGAGGGGAAAAAAAACTTCTCAAGAAAGCATTTCTCATAAGTCACTCAGTTTTTCTTCTTTTTAGTGAAATAATTTTAAAAGTTGCAATGAAGTCTGTTAATTTTAAATTTTTTCTCCTACTGTAGAAGGGGAAATACATTTTGTTTGCCAGAGCAGTGGTGTTGGAGGCTAGAATCCAACACATCGCTCACAATTTGTATACCCAAATGCGTTTTTTTTCTGGGTAAGGCCCCTCTAGCAACTCTCTGGATTAACTGAGACTGCTGAAGAGCTCATGGGACCTCCAGCTATCAACTTTCTAGCTACAGGAATTTGGATTCCTTTTCGTCAGGGCAAAAGATTTAAACTGCAGAGTCCTGCAGTTTGTAGTAATATCTCAGCAGGTCTCATTTTTAGAATACTTGGCCCCTCTGATGGGGGAGTGAGCAGTGGCTAGGAACTGAGTGGCTTCCAACTGAAGTACAAAAGCAGTGTGTATTGACAAAGACTGGGCAGGACACCCAAGAATTCAAATATGTGTCCATCTGAAATGAATTTTCAGGTGGAGGAACTGAAAGGATAGGAAAATTCAGACCTTTCATTGGCAAGATGCTTTTGGCCAGTCCTTCGATATAAAATATGAATAATCTTTGTCCCCAATGGAGGATGGTCAGTTCTTGAGTACCAGGTTCTTTATCATTCCAGTGAAGCTTGGAAGTAAAATATGGCATTTGCTTAGAGAAGAAGAATATTGATTACTTATTTTTAACAGTAGATGTCTGCATTCATTATCCCTTATTTTATTAGATCCAGAAGGAGTCTTTATTTCCACAGTTTCATTAGGACTACCATTGTTAGTAAAGATCCATGCAGCATTTAATTGAGTCCCTTAATGTCACATTCTTTTTTAACATCCATTGTTAGATTTTGTAAAGTGGTGGTGATGATGTTTTTAACTTGCATTGCATTTTGGAACCTCTGCTGTTCTGTTTGCAGGGTGTCTTGAAAGCTTCAAATGACAAGTGCCTGCATGAACTGTTTCCATTATTCTGTAGGGAACAAGGAATTAGAGTTGTCCTCTTAAAGGTGTCAAAAATACTTTATTCTTGGATCAGAACTTCATATTGATTAGAAAATGTCTAGCTACTTGTCCGAGTCGCCAAATTTAATAGCCAATATGTTGGCTGATATTTTTTTTTAGGAAACAAAAAAACCCAAACCCTACAGAAGATTATGGCGAAACCTTGGATGTGCAACAGTTAAAAATTGTGTAGTGTTAAACATTTTTGTAGCAATCAGTTTCAGAAATCAAGGCGGATAACCTTACAAAATAAATTAAATAGATGAATATGTCTGAACTTGCAGATGAAAATGTTGCCTGAAGGAGGGGAAAAAAGGCAATTTAAAAAATTGTGTGGTGTTGTTTTTTTAATGAGTTGCACAGAGTCCATGGCTCCTGTAAACTGCAAAAAGAATTTTTCTGGTAAGACAGTATGTTCAGGGCTTTTTTGTTTTAGCTTGATAGTTAAACTAGAATTTTGAGAGCATACTGTCTCTTAGCAATAAAATTCTAAATATAGATTATCAATTTTTTAAACTCTTCCCCTAACCTAGGAGGACCAGGATGGTAGCCAAGGTGTGGGCAAGCGCAAGAGGGTGAAACTAAGCAGCACCACCAAAGGTATTTATAAAGTACTGATCTCAGTTTATCATATTTGCTTTATGTCTATCTAAAAAATTATTTAGAGAGATTAATTCGCTTCCCAAGCACTGTAGTGCTGCACATGACAGGTATTAAACGCAGCAAACTCTAAAAAAGAATAGCAAGTGATATTGTGGTAATTGGTAACTTCGGTTTCCCTTGAGCGAGTACTACTGTCTGGGACTCTGTTTCACTGGTCATTTTGTCACCTTCATGTCATAAGATGACTTCTGAAAATTCGTTCCATTTCCACTGTGTGGCTGGCAAGGTTGCAGTGCAGCTTGGCAAAGAAGTCTTTGATGTATTTGGTCTTAACAGTCTTTTTTTTAAAAAATTTTTTATTATTCCACTCTACGGTAGGGTTGTGTTCTCAGCCAGGCGAGAATGATTCTCCCCCGTTCTGGTTGATCTTTCTGTATTGTTCTAGTAATGTTTAAGAAAATATACTCGAATGAAGTCTCCTTTGAAATCACTTCATTATTTTCCCAGATTGAAATTACTCCTCTGTGCAATTTCTGGTCTAAATGAGCAGCACTCACATTGAGATCAGTCCAAGTTTTAATTCAAGAATGACCATAGGCTAGAGACAAGATAGTCCTCTGCTGTGCTTGTCCTTGGCATGTTTTTGTGCTTAAAAAGTGTTTAAAGAAAAATATTTAAACTCTTATTATTAAATAAAGAACACTTTTTTTGTTGTTGTTTTTTTAACTGTGAGGAGACTGACATAGGAAGCACCAAGAAATTACAAGCCCTGAGAAAAGAACATTTGGGTGAAAAACTGTGGTGAAAGTTGGAATAAAATTTCTGGAAAGGCTTTGGAGTGAAGGTTTGGAACTTGAATTTGAGGTGCGAGGGTTCATGAAGTCAGTAAAAGGTATGAAGGTGTTGTGAGGAGTATGGGTAAAGAAAGACTGGTTGTTTCTAGTGGTTTCAGATTGTTGGGAAGCTGGAAAAGCAGAGAACAATATTTTGGCAATGGTGGTGTTAGGAAGTTAGAAATTGTGTGTGCAGGATTGTGGCAGAGAATAATAATACGGAAGAGGTGGTAGTTTTGAAGAAATGCAGGAAACTTAACAGACATCCAAGCAAAACTTCCTTACTTGAATTTTAGAGGCTGTTAACTTGTCTAAAAGACAAGTTAGTGCAGTAATGCAAGAAAAAATGCTGTTTTCCTGATGTACTGATTATGGGAAATCAGCAGGGATGAAGCTCAGTTTGAGAAGCTGCCAGATCTGAAAACCAGTATCAGCAGTGGCATTTCAGGAAAAGTGGTACTTGAATTCAACATTTCATTTCCCCCCAGGATTGTAGTCTTCCCCCTCTGAGGCATCCCAACATGGACTGTGCTCATGATGTTGATAGCTCCTAATAACAGCCCCAGAGGAGGGAGTCTGCCAATGGGGGAAAGGTAAGTATCTGTTTTTATTAAATATTAAATAGTTTTCTGAAGTTTTCAGTATTCATATTTTATGTCCAATAGGGTATAAAATAAGAGTATGAAAAGAAAATTTTAGAAAACTGAGTATTAAATAAAAACAGATTTACCTTTTCCATATAAGCAGACTCCCTGACCCATCCCAGGTCTTTAGTGGCATTCTTCATAGAGGGTTATTTATATACTGGGGATATCCTGGAATGCTAAGACTCATATTTCAGAGAGATGTTTGCAACAGTCTATGGGGTCTTTTGTGGCACTAGGAAAGAATAAAAGGTTTCTTTAAAGAAAATACAGGTTTTATGCTGAAGCTCACTGATACAGGTATGGGACTGAGCATTGAGAGAATTTTTGTTTTTACTCTGTTTTAAAACCTGCATCCTGCATCCGTCTGAAATACCTGGTGTTTAAGACAATTTTAAACCCACAGGCACTATATATATTTTTTTATTTATTTGTTGAAAGAAATTTAAAATCATGTGTTGCTTTTCACAAGAGTGGGAACGTTAGTCCCAGTGTTCTTGACAAATTTTCCAAGTTGGGTAAGAGCATTCTGCCTACTTAAATTCTGTAGCAGGTATAAATGGATATGTATTCTTCCATCCCTGCCTGAAACTGCTGTGTAAAGAGTTTGATATGCACTGTTCAATTGTCATATGTGTCATGAGAAAGCTGCACATCAGTAACAGATAAGCTGTTGTGTCACTTGTGTGTGACAAAACATACAGTTGTGCCCAGTGTTCTCACTCAGGGCATTTGGCATGTACCTAAACCTGTGCTGTCTGTTCTGTGGACAGAGGACTTCAGTCTGCATGGCTACCACGCGTTCATGGGCAGTAAAATCACATATGCAATTTCTTAACAAGAGACGAGGAAGAGAACGTAAATGATCATCATATGTTTGCTGCAGTAGGTGATGTGTAATGCTTTTCAAAATATTTTAATATTAAAATATCTTTCATGACTGTGAAGGTAACTTTTTATTTCACACTTGTAGGATCTATTGAATAAAACATATTCTTGTCTTTGTGTGGCTTGCTAAAGTCTTGAGGAGATCCCTAAAATTTAAATTATTCATTATTTCTTGTGATCTTTTGCAATTCTTGATGTTTTGGGCTGATTGGTCACTTGGCTGGGGAGCTCTGATCTTAGGTAATGAAAAACGGAGATAATTCCTGCTTAGGAAAAGCAGAAATGGCTATCCTGCTTAGGATAGGCAAAAAGCTATCCAGTGCAGTCCCTAAAGCTGTCGTACTTCGGTAGGGAGGCGAGTCTTCAAGGCCAGAAGATAGACAGCTTAAGTGTTGTTGAATCTGTGCTGATGGGAGCATTTCATACAGTCCCATTGGAATATGGGATTTTGTGCATGGGGTGTATCTTCAGGTCTAGTTGATTTCTAGGTACAAAGGAGCATTGTTATATTTTCTTTAGCTTGTTACAGGAGTGAGAGAAACTGTTGTAAATAACCAGCCTCTTTGAAGAATGATGGTAGAGAGTCTGTAGTAATTTTTTTAAATTGGGTTAATATGATTTATCCTCTGTCAAGCCATAGCTTCTTGAACAGTTTATTCCAGCAGAGATCAGTTTGTGCGGCTTTGCAATCACGAAGCTTGAAAATGCAGATGACAGAATGGAAAGATGACTTGATTCCTACATAGGTGTTCCATGGGGACCTACTGTCAATATGAGTAAGGGGGCAGAGTCAATGGCCAGGAGTTGAAAGGGGAAAGATGAGACTGTCTCTCCAGTGCCTGATTATCTGATTATGGTGATTTGTATATTGGAAAAAAACCCCAAACAACCAAGCAAACAAAAACTTTGTTGTTGGTCAATCAGTACATGTATTGCTTTAACAATAAGATAACTGATAGATTGTTGCTTCTACTTAGCTTGTTTAAAACTTTGAAATAGAACATAAGTGTTCATAGGTGATAGAACTCATCACTTAATCATAAGTTGTATGTTGTTGTTTTGCTATAATAGCTTCAGCTAACTAGTAGTCTACATTAACAGTTTTCCTCGATTAAGTGGCTGTGTAAACATTGTGCAAATTGCTGTGATTCATTATAATTAATGGAGCTATTACAATAAGGTCATATGATTAAATGCAATCAATGAAGACTGGACTCTGTGGTATAACTATACTGAAAATTTCCATTGACTTCTCTGTGAGGTCCTTTTTATTGTTACAGACTCTGACACGTTGCAGTGCTGACCATGTTTGTTTTCCCAGTGTTTTTGAAAAAAAAATTACTTAGAGAGTGCACTAAGATGTTCTTAAATTTTTCTTACTAAATTTTATATGACGGTGCAACTGCACTATCATTATTTTTAGTTTTAATAATTATTACATTACACATCCCCTCCTCAACCTCTTATGCAGATCAATCTATCATGGATGTTTTGAAGCATAAATGTTTTCTAGAAGAATTATTATTTTGGACAATAAAATATGAGTTTCCACAGAAGATGGTGACTTTCTTACTCAACATGCTGCCAGATCAAGATTATAAGGTACTTACATTACTTCATTCAAACTTAAATGTCTTTTCTTATTCACATACTTAGTGTGTATTATGCCTTGCATGAGATCACATATGTTTATATTTCAATAATAAGCAGTACAAAAATGCAGGTCTTTTATATTGTTTTGAGTACTTGAAGAGAAATGTGGACAAACCAAGATGAATAACTAAGCAGTATTAATTTTGTTCGTGTGGTTTGCTTTTTTCCTTTTTGGCTGTTAATGTGTATTTACGTGTGTGAATTTTGTTTTGTTTTATTTTGTAAATTGGATATTTATCAATTAAAAGATGTGGATGAGCACTAAGTGATTCTGTAGCATGGTATGACTGCTAAATACCTACAGTGACTTCATTTCTGTTGCAACTGTTCTAGTAGGCAGTGGTTTCTCCATGTAGGCCATTACAGTGTGAATATTCTTGCTGCAGCGATGCCCTAGGTGATTGTGGCAGCCTTCCAGCCACTTCCTTAAAGAGTTTTGCAGTTGTCCATACCAGACATCTCCTTGCCTGGAGTAATGGAGACTGGATGTCATCTTCCTGTTTTAAATCTTGGTGTGCAGCCAGGTTTGGTTGTTTGCTCTATGTGTTCCAAGACCAAGTATACATAGCAGTCAGGCTTAACATTTTGCTCTGATCATGTCATACCTTTGAGCCATGAAAATATTTTGGACTTTCTCAATCCCTGCTGGGAGGCAAAGATCAAGAAATCCTGAAGTCCAGGCATACAGATTTCTTCAAAAATATCAGTTTATAATGGGACAGCCCTGTATTCGTACCCCCTTAAAACCTTCCTATGTCAAAGCAAAGGATATGAAGATAACTTGCAAAGAAGAACAAAAAAAATAAATACAGGCTTTCAGCAATACTCGGTCCACGTCAAGACAGCATTTTGATCTGGGATACCAGCATAGATTCATCTTGGTCTTGGATTCAACTAATACTTGAGGACTTCTTCGCTGATGATCATTGCCATGAAGCTAGAATTCCTTATATACAGAAGAATGTTTTATCTTTCAGGCTTTTGTTTAGCTTTTATGAAGCTTGTTTGCTGTTTAATCACGTTGCATTCTCAAACAGTAGGAACACCTGTAGGGATATGAACTGTTCCAAATGATCTCTCAGCTTTCTGCTACTTTCTCCCATCCCATCTACACCACATATACTGCCTTAATTTTTTCTGTCTCTGCTGTTGAGCAATTTGTCTGATTCTTCATGACCTGATTTAGCTTGTTAAATCAGTAGAATTTTGCTAGGTTGGTTTTCTGATAAACTGAGCAAGCTGGCCAGACATAGCACAGAGCTGGCTATCTGTGCATGCTCAGAAGTTGTTGAAATCTCTGATTTCTAGCATAAATGTAGTAGAGCTGACTGAATCCATCCACCATGACCTATGCAGCAATCAGTGAGCCACCAGCAATCTCTGTTGCACAGGTTTATTTTTAAGTAGGAAAACAAACTTTTTCAGAATTTGCAGTATTGAAAAGAGGTGTTGAAAGCGGTGTGCTAAAGCCCTGGGTTAACTAGCTCTTCTCCCCCTCCCTCCTTTTGCATATGACAGGGACAGCATGACAAACAGTGTGTTGTCTTTGCCTTACAGCATTTGTGCCTGAGGCATCTCTTCCAGCACTCTCTGATATTTGAAGCTTGGAAGACTTACAAGTGAAGAAGACAGGAGAGAAATTTACTAGAGCTTCCAAGCAATTAGAGGTGTTATGGTGTGGACAAGGTTTCTGCAAGAGTAGAAACAAAGGGTCAGAGAAATAGGACTAACCTTCATGTGACCAAGATGAAGGCAATAAAGATGAAGCTTTTGGAAGAGTGTAAATCATCCAAGAGCAGAGCCTTGCTGAAATCTGAAGTACAGGAAGTAAAGAAATGCAAAAGCATCTGGTAAAGATAATGAATCAACAAACATAATTATCTTCACTCATTATTATGCTATGCCTTGTCAGGCACCTCCTGTAGTGCACGTTGAAGCAGTTATTACAGCAATAAGAATTCACTCACCCCTGGATATGCTATTCTACAAATTCTGTAGAATGTTTTTTCTACTGGAAATGTAATTTTAGCAAAGCTTTCACCTGGCAGAACTATGTTTTTCTTTGCATTGAAAACATAAACGTGGAAAGTGCAAGTTCTAAATGAAACATGGGGTTGATGTTGGGCTCCTAAAAATTCTGGGATTTCTGAGTGACCACCAAAAAGGAAAGGCCAGATGAAGAAATGAACTTTGTTTTTGCATAGGCTAGAAATTTAGAAGCTGCACACAATCATAGAGTGTAAGTCAGTGAAGGTAATTAAATATAGAGAAAACGTGTGTGTCTTAGGAAGCCACTACTTGCAAATAGTTGGAAGCTGAGTAAGTATTTGAAAAGATGTGTTCTGTCAATATCTTCATTCTTGCTCCAGTCTATAATTTTCTGTAATACAATGTGAAGAAGTAATATATAAATAAAGTATACTTTTAGCATTATTATACTAACTTCTTAAAATATCAGGTGTGTCATTTGTGTTTAAGGCTTAATATTAATAGCGTAAACATCTTGATGTTTGTTATAAGTGTCACTGACAGTGATTACAGTTGCATCAAGCTTTAATTTAAAGGAAATTATATGATAGGTTATTCTGCCTTGGAATACCAGAATGATACTGTATTAACTCTGTACAAGTATTGCAAATACGTTGCTGTGAAAAGTCTTTAGGTGAAAACAATTACCATTGTGCTGGGTGCTACATATAGAAGACACTTTCAATTATTATACAGGTTTCCATCAATGTGAACCAGCTAAAGGGAGAGCAAATTAAGCAGCGTTGTAGTGTTTCCTGCAGTGACTTCCTCACCCCCACTTTGGTCCATTTTTTTTGCACGAGCAACTTTATTTTTGAGGATATTTGCTGGAAGAAGCAGTCTTTGTCCCAACAGCAGCTTTATGGCATCATGATATTTTTGGAAATATTCTCTAAATGAGAATAACATGGTAGTGCTATAATAAAAATATGGCAGTACAGAGTCTGAGGCAGGTAAAATGAAGTAGTGATTTGTATACAGTCTGGTGAAAACACAGCTGCCTGAGGGTGGTTTTAAAATTTCTAATTTTATGCTTATGAAAGATTAATACTTCCAGAAGAAATAGACTGGGGATTTTAGACTTTGAGCTGCAAATTTTAATCGCTACACAGCTTGTATTATCTCTCCTTAAGTCAAGGAAGTCCAGATGGCATTAATTCAGAACTTGAAGTACTAAGTGAGAAGTGATTTCAAAACTGGCAAATATGCACACATGTATATGCAGTGCAGAAGGTTGGTTTACAATGCAATTTGAGGCTAATGGAGTGGGACAAGAAATTGTATGAAGATTTATATGCATATATATCAATACTTTTAAATATTGGTCTGGTTTAAAAAAACTCTAACAGTTATGTGAAGAACAACAAGAGTTGCTAATGACTTTAATTATTTAGCAGAAAGCACTAAAGATTTATTAATAACATGTAGGATATTATGATAGCAGATGAAATTATGTGTTGAAGTGTCATCCTTGACAGATGAATTAAAACTTTACTCCATGGGTAGACAAATGTAGGTGATAAGGCAGCTTCACTGGGCACCATGGATCATATTGTTCATAGCGTATCGTTTTGGGACACTGTTCCCTGCTTTAGGATGTAAAAAATTTAGGATAAATTTATTATTATAACTTCACTGCTTTCCCGCGTATGCTGAGATCTTATATTCCTT